CAGAGGGCCCGGTGGCGCCAGTGTCCGGCAGCCTCACCTCTGTCAGTGCACCCCAGGATGGCTACAATGTAGCTGCCATCACCAGTGTGTGAATGACTGGATGTGTAAAGCGCTTTGGGGTCCTTAGGGACTAGTAAAGCGCTATACAAATACAGGCCATTTACCATGTTGTCTCCTTTCCTGTTCTGCTACCATGTCGAAGCTATGGCAGTAGGTACAAGGCTATACCTGGAGAATCCCAGTTGTCTAAGACAGTGGTCCAAGGAGAGCTTTTGCTGTTGACCTGTCTCAGGTAAGGCTAAATAAAACTATGCGATGCTAAAGCACAGCATTACAGCATCATCAAATAAACTTCTAAAGAAATGTATGTTTGGTCAATTTCTTTGTTGTAACAATGCTTCTTCACAATAAATCTTATACCAGTGGAAAGTCTGTTTATTTCCTCTTAAATAGTGCCAGGCTTGTAACGAAAATGCATTAAATGAATAAGGTCCTCAGCAGCATGAGAAAGAACCATGCACGGCTCCAACAGCCTGCCATGTCTTGCTCATGCTGTCACTGGCTTGGTTACACACCGCTATCCCATTCTTCAACCAGCATTTCTCTCTTATGACAAATGCTCTTAAAGTACCAGTGTTTCTTGTCTCTTCGAACCTCAATCTTCCAATCAAACGAACAACACCAAGCAAGAGTCAATAGCAGAATGAGCTGTTTGGCACCAGAACGCAAGATTTGGGAGATTTTTCATTGGTATAACCCACATACTCAATTCTGCTGCTCAACCCATGAATGCTTGGAGCGCTCAGAAAAAGTAGAAAAGCACTATTTACCATTTAGGTATAAGATTTATTGCCAAGAAGCACAAAGAAAACAACAAAGAAAAAAATGACCAAAAGCAAATGTCCTACTTTTTGTAATACATTTTTTTAACCACTAGCTAGGTTTTGTGCATAATATATCAGACAATGATCTACATATGACGATGATAAGCTGACTCTACATTTACTGCATCACAATCAATTTGACACGTCTATTAAGCTGATGCAAGTAAACCAAAGAGATGAACAGAAAGGAAACACATGAACAGGTTGGAATAGATATGTACAGTTACCCATGTTATCCAGCTTAGCCTTGTCCTCCTACCGCTCCTGTTAGGGTGACTGGGAGACAGTAGCCCCAGCTGGAGACACATGCCATCCATCACACACGTACACAAACAAACACAATGTCTTCTCTCTCTGCTGCATCTGACAGTTTCTGACTGGCGACAGTAAACAAGCTCAGACGATTCACTCTGTAATGCTATCCCGGCTCTCCATGTCCTTTCTTCTCGTCTCCAATTATTTTCCTTCTTCTTCTTGTGATGTGGGAGTCTCCAGCCGCATTAGCACTTGTCTCCAAATACCTGAATGACTTACCTGAACTGGACAGGATTTCTGCTCTCTCTACTTGTTCCCTCCCTTCCTGTCTTTTTTTCTGTGGTG